CCATGCTACTTTCCCAGAGCTTTCATACTTTCGTTAGTGCTCCCCATTAACTTTCTTATAACGCGGACATGGTTCATCATGCTATAACCTTTCCGCAACACCCCTCGATGTAAAGTGTGCTTTACTACATGTCCTTTCGATCTCCGTGTGACGACTTAGAATAAGCATCTAATCGAGGAACAGCAGACAAGTAGTTTGACATTTACCAGTATCATGGAGGTTTCCATTTCAGTACAATATGGTCCTGCTGCTTTTACTAACCTGCACCTTCAATTCTCATAGACAACGCGTGGAAAGTCGGCCAGCGTGTCGACAAAGAGAAGCAATAGGGTTTTCAGATGTTCGCTCAGGACTCCGTAAACATTTTTCTGATCAAGAAAATCGTGTCAGAGATAGGAAGGAGAATCCTTGGGATAACAAGTTCATTCACCTTGACTTGACATTTTCGCAACACCTGACACCTGTGAAGGTCATTTTGAACATGACGCAGCTGGACTACAGGACCATTTTTTCGATGTCCCATTTCGCTGAATACAATCCTGTCGTTATTGCAACCCCTCAATTCTTTCAATTATCGAACTGTTCGTTGTCAAAATGAGCAAGTCGGCATCACCTGAGACTTGGGCGAGGTCTCGAAAGTACAGACTTGAGGTGGATGCGGCCATCGCAAAAAAAGTCGTGAGTGAACACTTATATTACCATTCTATACGCAGTGACTACTCCGTTTGAATGCCAAAGGTCCTCATTATTTCTGCAACAGATAACGTAGAACAGGCGTATACCAGACTGCCCTTTGCTCTTTCCAACCTCTGTAGTCTCAGCAAGATCTGCAGCTCTTCTCACTTAAGAGAAATCTCAATTTACACAGCTTGATGTGCAGAGCTTTGCAACATCGGAACTGCGCTGCTATTTGGCTACGATTTTCAGATTCGATGCTGGCACATCAACTCGCAACTCTCGAGAAAAGTGCCGCTTCACGAGAAAACAATGTATAAGTCATTTGCACTCCCTCTTTAGTTCACAGATGACAACAGCTCTTGAAACGGGCCAGACATGTAGACGAATAGAGATTGGCATTGAATTCATGATTTCGATCCTTTTGTTTCAAAAGCACTTCTCCTATTCTAAAACAAAAAGAACTTGTAGAAACGAAAACGAAAACGAGGTTATATCTTGGAAACTTCAATTAACCACAGTACCATTTAATAAAACTTCCCCTCAGCCAAGATATACCTTTCAGGGACCATATGGTACGTTTAGTACCAAGCCGCGCGAGGTCGTATCCCAGTTAGCTACTGTAATGGCGGCATCGCGTCTCGTGAGAAGGCACGCAGACAGCCGGACATGCAGGTGCTTCCTGCCTGTAAATGCCGCGCAAGCGACGTACGACGCCACCTGCCTGCGCTAGCCCTCAAAGGGTTAAAACAGCATAGAATGGCCATGGTACTCGAGTGACGTGTTCATCTTATCTTATGCTGCACCAGAAGTTTGTGGGATCAGGCTCAGGACCATGCTATGACTTACTTAGACACTTAGATGGTCCGCCTTCACTAGTTGCACGGACCCCAGCACATATTCCAAATGGTTAAATGCTGGTCGAGCTCATGATAATCCTTGATTTCCTGAGGTAACCTTGCATGGGCTTCTTCAGGTCTTCATGATGTTGTTTCCAAGGATGGCTTTCGGCGACGGATCCTCAGACGGGTTTCTTAGTAGTTGATTCAGAGATCGTGTTAGACTGAAATCAGGAGCAGAGGTAGGAAAGAAAATAAAACGACCGCTCACGGATGACGTAGAAGCCGAAATCCCATGTTGCGACTAGTTTTCAGAAAAAATTTCTGCATATTGCTAGCTAGGCAGACAGATGGTAGTGGTAGACAGTAGTAGGGATAGCGATCGTAACGATCAAGGTGCACGTTCGAGTCAAGTCTATCCACAAAAAGCTCAAGCATTCATGTTAATGATGGACACAAAAAAATGAATCGAATGCCAGGACAGAAGTGTTAGGATCCACACAGTAAATGTAGAGAACGTGTAAGATTATAAGCATAAAAGTGGCTAGCTCGCCAATTACATCAAGTAAAGGCTCGACAATCTTATAGGAATCTAGTTCAGCTTACACAGATTGGGCATGGTGATCATTTGCTCCAAGTGCTTTCAAACCACGCTTGAGAGGTGTACCTGTACATGGATTCTCCGTGAACAAGTATAACTACGTCAATATGAATTTACCCGTGGGCAATCAAAATCCCATGATAAGATTCACGTCTACAGCCCTGACGCACTTAGCGGAAAGGATGGACCTTATTGCTGATCACCCAGTCAACGATAATCAACGGTATTAGATTATATACGATATATGTAAGCGGTCATAGATCATTATGGTTTACTGATGTTGGAAGTCACAGCAGCACCTAGCGTATTCGATTCGTTTCCTCTAATTTCTCATTTACGAGGGTCTTCGAACACTTTCACCCATGACTTCAACTGTTAACTTAGAATTTATTGTGGTTCTTTTGTGTCAAGATGGCAAGGGATAGAAAAACAACCCCCTTCTCAGAAATTGTAGCGTAGAAAGAGTGGTGTGAAAACGGGAGTCTGTAGTGCAACGGTTCAGCATGCGCCTCCGGATAGGGTGAAATCTGGGTTCAAATGCAGCTGACATAATGTTTCTGCATCGGGCAAAGACTTTACCTTGCACCTTTAATAATCATACGAAAGCTTAGATCTATGGCTGATGCGCTACGTAGCTGCTTTCGAAAGAGCTTTTTATAAAAATGTAGAAGGTAAGGAAAGATTTGTGTTTCGCACGCGTTTATTTCTCGGCAGAACAGAGCTCTGTCCTTCAGACTATTAGTGAACCATTTGATAGCGTCAGTTTCGACGATTCCGGGACGCTGCGCTTTACTTTCTGGAAAGACCGTCTCACTGCAGTGTAGCAGGATGAAAATAAGATCGAAATTATCATAAGCGACGCCTTTCTGTAGATTGTTTGAAGGAAGGCAACAATGAAACATGCCTAATACTTATTTTTGAAGCATGGCATGTGGTGCTACTGTGAGCACTTATACAGTACAATACACGTGTTTCCGCCTTGGCAGGCCCGTCAGATTGCACGGTGCTCTTTCGTCAGTAACTAATTTCTTTGAGGTGAGAACCCCTTGACATGAGAAAGTATCGTCGACGAACATTTCACAGACGCGTCGGTAAGTGAGTCTTGGTTAGCATCGTGAAATATATACAAGACCACACGCATGGCTCAAAAATAAGTATTAGGCATATCGAAATTTGAACGCGGTCTGAAGAAAAAGTTGAAACGAAAGAGAATGAAGCGATTTTAGAAAGTTCAAATCAATTACAATTACAGTGGCCTTGAAAAGAAAGATTAATGGACGCATAGAATATGATGCAACGAAAAATATAAGTCTTTAGTAAAGGAAATAGGATCGAAAAAAAGAAAGTAGGAGTAATGAACCTGAGGGCATATCCATCGTCAACCATTTCGTGTCTAGACGGTTACTCGCGAGTCCGAACGAGAAAATGGTACGGCTTGCATGTCAGCGTATGAAGCACCATTGTCATCTATGTTCATGCTGAAAAATCACACGTGCACAAGGTCATTTCAGATGTAAAGGGGCTTTCCAACTCAGACTAAGCATAATCGATTCATGAAATCAGGAATGCTTGTGGCACAGTGGACAAAGTATATACCCTACGACACACATGTTGGTCGATGGTTTGATCCCGCGCTCAAGGCACACCAAGCTTTTCACTTCCTCCGCGGTCGGTGAATGGTACCAGACTTGCTTGGAAAGATAGCAGCACATGACGTTCAGAGCGTGTCATCTGCATTCAGTCACGTGAAAAGATGCTTGGTGAAGCTCAGATACATGTCGCATTCAGCAGGATTTGATCAAAGCTAGGAGATTTTTTATCTCTCTGAAAATACCGACTACTGATGTCAAAACATAGGGCTAGTATGGACGCTCATCGCCGTTGATCAATCAGCAGGGAAATGAGCATCATCCGTCTTTAAATTCAACTTTGTTTGAGGTGACTGAGATGCATATCTGGCTACACAATAACTCACCGTGGATTACCAGCTGTGTCGGCTGAATGATGCTTATTCCTCCTGGACAAGTCTGGGACCAGTCTAGGATCGGTTTGGTACTAAATTACCGAAATTCGGAGGGAAAGATGGCTCGGTGAGCCATGAGAGCGAGATCGAACATTAAATGTGACGCAGAGCATCTCGCAACCACTGTGCCACATGCCAAAAACACAGTGTTACTAATTCCACTTCATCCGGAAAAAGTTTCTGACGAGTTCGCTCTACCATTAAGAAGAATTACTCTGCTTTCAAACTACGATGGAAAAAGCCTACACGAGATTAAAAATGAAATCACATCACTGTGAATTGAAATTACCGAATTCTGTAATACAAGATTGATAGCGTCTAAAGCATCACCACATCCAAAAAACAAGTATTTTCCACTCTAATTAGGAAAAAACCCTAACAAAACGCGAGATTAAACCACTACTGTTCATGAGGCGCCTTCACAGCAGGTCTTCCTATTCAAATTCGACACTTCTCAGGGAGCGCCATCATGATAGGTTGTGTGAAAAAGTTCGTGCCGTTTTGGTTTTTATTCACAATTTTTTTCAATAGCTTTGTTCCAAACAAAAAGCAAAACTAATAATCGTAAGTATGCTCCATCGACCTATGAATAACTTCCTGCCACTTCTCGGGCAGAGATCAAGAATCAACAAACAATTGAACTCTTCGGCACTGGAAGTTCGGCATGACAGAAATCATTTTATTTGACCGCCTATTGCGATGTGTATGGATCTTGCAATAACCCCAATGAGTAGAGTGGCGTGCAAAAACGTTTGCGTCAGCTGAGACTTGAACCCAGATTTCACACACTTCCCGGAAGCGCATGCTGAACCTTTGCAAGACCGACGCTAACCGTTTTTTCTAAAAACCATTCTCATTGCCCCCGTAGTGCAACGGTTCAGCCACGCGCTCCCGGAAAGAGTGAAATCTGGGTTCAAGTCCCAGCATGACGCAAATCGTTTTTTCAGGCCACTCTACATCAATGGGTTTATTCGGCATGACATTGAGAGATTCTCTACACCATCTCAATGAGCACCGCTTGGTGATTAACTTCCTGTGAACGCATGAGCGCGACTGTTCCTCCAGACTGTTCTATCCAGCTCTGAACTTTGCGAAACACTTTCTAACCGTGTTTTCTACAACCGTATCATCGCCCAAGCTCCACCAATCTTGCGCGCCGCTTCAGTGGCGTTTTCTCCTATGCGCCATTCGTGCATAGGTTGCAAGCGAATTCGTTCTCGAGACAGGTTTATCTTAAAGCAAGTATAGGCAAGTTCTATACCAAAATGTTCAAGAGAACATGAACAATTGAAACGATACCAAAATCATGCAATCTCATTGCAAAATCATGTCAAAATCAAAACGGCACGAACTTTTACATAACCCATCAGTTCATAATCGATTATATAACCATTGAGGGAAAATATTAAATTGTTTAGTATGCCCTGCCAGTAAAAGACGATGACTGCATGAGTTCAAATAGAGGAGACAAATAGAAGGATAAAGTTCTAGTGTTGATCAACTCTTGATGGATGCGCCAGGCATTCGTCTTGCAACTTTTAGCTCCGTTTGAGGTGGCTGCATGCATACCTGGCCTTTACAATGACTCGCAGTGGCCTACCGATAAATCAAGTCAGTGTGGATACCCTCCCAGACAAGTCTCGTATCAATTCCCCGACTTGGAGAGATCAAAGGTTGGTAAGCCCTGGGCACGGAATACGAACCGTCAATCATGGCTGCGCCGCAAGGCACTCTCTAACCAATGCGCCACACATCTCCCCTAATTTTGCCTATGAGTTCATATACGGTATGCTGGTTTCCTGTGAAAAGTGTGATGTCTATGTTTGGTTAAAACGAGTTGACCACTCAACGTCTGCATAAAAGAGCAGCTACTTAGGCAACATAAGATTAACCCTTTACTTTCCGATCGTTGCCGTTGAAGAATAATGCCCAACGGTTCCTTGGAGCGGCGAAGTCCCACTAAGGTACTCTTGCACGAAACAGGGAAAAGTGGAAGGTTTACCGATACCCGCTCGAACCCCTCGAACGATCACGAGACGACAGGTGATACGGGTGAAGGGACCCATTTGAGGAGGCTTGTTTTATCTTGTTTACAACTACTTGAAGATCTTTTTGCTTGACATAAAATTTTCCTCGACTTCCAGTGACCATTCGAAAGCTTAGATCTCGTTGATATCAATGTTGCACTTGGTTTCTCAAACGGTCTTCTTAGTGCGTTGTGGCAGCCAAAATAAAAATGTTCTACATTCAACTTGCATTTGCTCGCACGGCTAGGATCTTTGGATCGTTTGTCACTAGACTTTTACACTCAATCGACAGCTCAGACCTCGGCGATATCTGAAGCTGAGAGCTGAGGGTGGTTTCTAAGGTTCTTCAAAGGGCCTTATGAGAGCGAAAAGATATTACGTTTACCGCACGACGCAGCGTCGCTCAAACTTCACAGTGAGTTCTTCACAACTTTCATAGCCGCAAAATGGCATAAAATCAGTCTAGTACTTGCAAACAATAAACAGAAGTCTTTTCTACAATTTTTAACACAAAAAACCAGAGAAGCTTTTGGGAAATGGGGAATAGAATCTCTAAAGGATAGCAAAAATGATCCCGCCGTTACGAGTGACACTGATCTCGCTGCGCGCAGCGCGATTCGGAGAGGGCGCGGACCTCGTTAATCATTCAGTAATTTTTTTTGCGCTTTGAGCAAATTTCTGGACTTCTCTTAGATGTTTGATAGACCTCAATTTCTTCCACACGTTCATATGCTTTTGGTGCATATATATCTCGGTGCATTAGTTCTTTGCTCTTGAAAAGCTTTCCGGAAACCAAATTCAATTCCAGATTTCCCGTTTATCAAACTATCCAATGAGTACTAGGATTCTGTTGGAAATCGATCCACAAACCCCTAGCAGACGAATTGCGCGCCAGAAGCAAAATCTTACTAGGTCCTTTCATAACACCAAATTTATTGACCAGAAGTAAATTAAAATTACACGAATTTTGGCATCGTTTCAATGCGCATTTCTCGCGAACATTTAGTATACATCTTGCCTATATTTCTCTCTACAATATTGAGCTCTCACCAATGGCGCGTAGGAAAAATGCTAGTGAAACGGCCCTCAAGATTTATGGAGCTTGAGGCGATGATACGGTCACACAAAGAACGCCTAGCAAGTGGCCCGCGAAGTTGAAGCTGAAGAGGGCAGTCTGGAGGATCAAATAGAACTTTTTATTTAGCCGCTTTTAGCGGATTATGATGGATGGTATAAAGATACCCAGCGATTGAGAGAGATATGCAAAACTTTCGCGTCAAGCGGTACTCGAACCCTCATCTCACTCTAACCGAGAGCGCGTGATCTAATCCGTTGTACTAGTAAACGCTCGTTGTTTGCCACCCACTTTTTCTACGCCCACAACGCATCTATCTATCAGCAACCAACCGTCACGGCATGACCCAGTCTGGAGGATCAGTCGCGCTCGGGCTCGTCCACAAGAAGCTCCATCAATCTTGCGCGTCGCTTCACTAGCATTTCCCCTATGCACCATTCGTGCACGAGTAAGCAAGCGGTTTTGTTCCAAGACAGCCCCATCTTCAAGCAGGTAGATGAAAAGTATATGTTAAAAAATATTCACGATAGAACGCACAATTGAACGTCGGGCAATGGGCGCGTTCTTTCTCCTGGAACTGTTCTTGTCTTAGCTATATCGAAAGGGAGGGGAAGGCGCCGGGGTTTGTGAGCAGAACTATTTAAGGGGGGTTCGCACACACCTATACTATACTAGTTTCAGCCTGGTAGAGAGGTGAGGGTGGTGGGGGTGAGTAGCCGGGGGGGGAGGG